AATGTGCATTAAAAGCACACTATGTATCCTTGAATAAAACCAAGTGCTGACAAACTAATTTTCTGAATTTTCACGTGTTGGCATGAACAGGAGGATAGCTATTACTGAGGAGCTCTGTGTGCAGACAAGTTGGTACAGCTAGCAAGGGCTGAAAGGAGCCGAGGCATGACTGAGCCTCATAATTAGACCTAGATTAGACTTTTGCTGGAGGGGAAGGCAAGGCAAGAACAGCTCTGAACTCCTATCGTCACCTGTAGTGTTTGAACACAGAGACACCCTTGCCATCCCAGTGAATTCAGCAATGCCAAGCCAGGCTGGAACAAAGCCCCATTATCTCTACAGGAACATTGCTGACAGGGCAGGTGTGGGCTTGTGCTGGGCTGTGCTGTGTGGTGTGACCACCTCAGGTTTTCTCCACAGCCACTATTCTCCAGGAGGGCTTGGGGGCCTGCCGGAGTCACACAGTACAGTGGAGACCTGGAGTAGCTGAAATCCCCCATTTCATAATGGTATGGGTGCCTGAGGCCCTTGGGCAACCTCTAGAGAAAGTGCTTATCCTCCCCTTGGGCTTGAGCTCTAGACACTGTGACCATTGTTCCATGTAACTACCCCTAGAATTTCGACTAGAACTAATAACGGGTGAACCTCAACTTTCAGGTGTCTTGAGGTGCCATCAGAGACCAGTTGTCAGATTTCCCTTGGTGTTTTTTCACATAGTGATGTGACCTGGGACTGCAGCCTTCTGAAGGCACACTGCAGATCTTAAACACTGATGTTGCCTCTACATTTGATTGACAAGAGGTCACGCAAGTCCTTGCTGCCTGTGCATTTTTGTAGATACAGATATGCCAGTGCTGCTTTAGTTTTAGTGATGATGTGGCCATAGCAGACAGGCAGGTGTCAGTCTCCAGAGATGCATAGGAATGGGGATGTACATGTACCAGTGTTAGCCCAGGGAACCTGCTGTGGCTCTGACTGCACAGTGGATGTGCCACTTCTCATAGAACTCTCCCATAGAACTGTCATTTTAAAAAGTGGCTGCTCCTGGCCTGGATGAGCATATGATATGTTGGATCAAGCACTGGCTGGACAGTTGGGCCCAAAGAGTGGTGGTCAATGGAGACAAATCCAGCTGGGGCCAGTCACAAGTGGTGTTCCTCAGGGCTCAGTGTTTGGACCATTTCTGTTTAACATCTTCATTGACAATCTTGATAAGGACAAAGAGTGTATTATCAGTAAGTTTGCAGATGACACCAAGCTAAGCAGG